TCCCATGGCACACCCATGTTTCTGCCTATAATATTGCCCCCCGTACGTGAAGTAGGTTGACTCCAGGCACAGTTTGAGGAATTTTGCCTGAAACTCTCAGACTTAAGAAGTCTCTTGGAGAAGAGACGAATCGTTTCATTAGAGAAGAACCCGTCCAGAAGACCTACACAATTTTTTTCTTTTTAAATACTGTGACTTCAGATTCAGACTCTTCAGATTCAGATTCTTTTATTGTCATTCAACATAACATCAGAGATGCACTGTAGAACGAAATTWCGATGCAYATTAGCACACGACATAAACAGCCTGACAAACTATAAAGCAATGTAGAGTTGTGTGAAGAAGGCTGGTGATGGAAACTTGAGCCAAAACCCTACTCCATCATTTCAAGATTGCAGGAGTGTGATYCAAGTGACACCTGKGGTGGTCATGCAACCAGGTCTGATTCCTTGTCAACCAGTCGTCGATGCTTATGACAACTTGCATCAGCAGAGACCAACATCAGATCAAGCTGCRGAGTTTGAACAAAGGGCCGAATGGTACCRGGCACTRAACCCGCTTCGTGCTGCAGGACAGATGAATRTGGATATAAACYGCCATCCCACAGGCTGGATGAGTCCAGAGGAATGGGTTAAAGGTCAACTTGCTGCGAGCTGGAATGTAAACAAACCCTCCCTTCTACACCACCATCGGCCTTGCTGAAGGAATTGTGGCCATAAATCCTGAGAACTGTCACCTTCGCACAATAAGAAAAGACCACAGAAGAAATCAAGTTGTAACTAGTTGAAACCTGAGTGTTTTCTCCTCACACAAAGACAGGAGGAGAATGAATGTATCTTTAAAATGAATATGCATAATTACAGGAGTTTATAAAAATCACAGGCACACCCACAAAGACAGACTTTTGGGGCTTGCTTGGGTGGTTTAAGCAGGAGTACAACAGATCGCTACGGCTAAGCTCTCCTGTTGCCCTTGGGTCAAGCTGGCCCAGGGGTGACAGGAGGGATTAGAGCACTTGTATTAGCCACCAGGGGTCTTAATAAAATCAGAAATAAGGTTGTTTTTTTGATTTGGTGACAATTTTATTCAAACGGCAGAATGGGCTCTAAAATTAATCTAATAAATTTGCAGTCAGTAATTTAGTTTTATTTGTCCAATGAAGATTCATTTAGAAGTTTTCATCTTTAAAAACCTGCTTGTCAGGATCTTTGTGTTTTTTGTTTCTTGTTCTTATGTTTCAGTATTCATGACTCTCTTCAGGTCAGATCATTCCAGTTTGTGTTTAGTTTCTCATTTCTCCCTCAGTCACTCACACCTGTTGCCACTCCCTAATCAGCCCACCTGCATCCCATCTCACATCAGCAGATTATTGCATTGGAATATTTTGGGTTTTCCGCGAGTTGACTGTGTTGTTTTGTGATTTTAGTGTTCTCGTTTGTAAGTATTCTCTAGTGATGGATAAAACGAGGCTTTCTGAATCACTGAATCAATATGGATCAATTGTGGTGAAATGACTCAGTGTTAAGAATTATTTGATACATTTAAGTGTTGCTCCATCTTTTGGCCAACTTTTAACATTACAGCTGCAAGAAACAATGAAAGACAAGCTGTTTCATGAACCAGCCTCTGTTCTGTATAATAAAATTTCTACATGCATTTTGAACATTCTGTTATCTTTAAGAACAATAATAAAATATAACARTAAAATATGGCTGTGCTGTCACAAAACACTGCATGTGATGAAGACAAGCGCTGCTCTGTGAAGCAGCTCAGATCTTATTTATAGAAACCTGGAGCTTATTGTTGATAGTTATTGTTTTGCTTAACTAAATATGGCCTATAAATAAAAGTTTAGTAATTATCTGTATTGCTTTTATTAGTCATAGCATTTTGTTACTGTATATAAAAAAACAAGATTCGAAATCACTTCTGGGAGCCACATATCTCTTCCACTACTCTTACAGGATCCCACAGCATTTCTGAAATGTCTGTTATTTGTTGTTTTTTTACAAACACTCCACACAACTTTCTTTTAAACATTGATACCTAAAACAGGATTTAATTATTCAATGGGATTATTACAGAAATACTCTTTGGCAAGAAATACTAAATCCCTAAAAAGTAGGGATGCACCGATATGAAAATTTCAGCTACAATGACAG